TGTTGCAGCGCCTTCGGAACTGTAAGGCCAAGGACTCAGAGCTCTACCAACTGGAGGCCCACCGCGTCCAGTGTGCACGTGGCCAGGCCATGCAGTCGGTGGCTTGGCAGAGTTCAACTCCGCAACGCTGCAAAGCAAGAGAGCTCATCTGAGGTGGCCTTCAAGTCATGCGGGGCCACCAGCTACCAGTATGAGTACCGCTGCTGCGACGTCGAGGGCATGGGCGGCTGTGAGCTAGAGTTGACTCCCTGGACCAAGCGAGAGCCCTCGAGCCATGGTCGAATCGAGGCTCTGGCGGAGCACGTTCTGGGCTGCCAAGAGCATTGGGTCTTGACTCATTTCGTGCTTGAGGCCAAGGATCCCGGCGAGAGCAAATCAGAGGTCCGCTATTTGTTCACCTGTTGTCAGGTGACCGCCCATGAGCCGATGTCTGTTGTAGCCACAAAAGATCCGATCCCACAGTCCTACACAGACTTCGAAGGCAACTACTTCCCTACAAATCACGTTGAGGGGCGGCTGTTCTACGAGGCTTTCTATCACTTCAACCGTGACTCCGTGGGCTCGGTCCAGAACTTCAGCTTTGACCCATTTAAGGGCCACTGGTGCCTTTTCTACAGCGAGGCAGGGGGTCCACGGCGCACCGTGACTCAGTACCCTAACCTATAAACTATAAACCCTAAGCTTTCCTAAACCCTAGTTTGGCCCTAGACTGCCCTTGAGGAGGCCAAGTGCGTGGCTCAGGGGAGCATCCATCCCTTGCAGCTGGTCCCGGGCCTGGGGGACCCTTTCGAGGTGAAGAGCCTGGGTCCAATCCGTTCACAGCAGGAGCCAGGCGCGCCCATGAAGGAGCTGAAGGCAAGGGCGGGAGCCATGGGAAAGAGAAGATCCATTCCTTCGCGTTCTATCACGATCAATCACAAAGATAGACCAACTTCCGCAGTTTGTGTCGGGGTAGTGGAGGGAAAGTGGCAAAAGGACTAAGGTTCCTGCACCGTCTGAAGCGCTCAGCCGCAATGTGGCGTTCCTGTCCACTTGCAGTATGCACAGCTGACACAGCAACAAGAACACGCCTAGACAATCTGAATCATAAACTCCTCAAAACCCAAGAAAGACGGTGAAGATCGATGAAGCCTGAAGCAGGAAGGGCAAAGCAACATGAGCTGCGCTAGAAGAAAGACTGACGTGACGTTGATCCCAAAACGATTCATAAACTAATCCCAAGAAGAAACACAGCTGCAGTGTCGTTTGCTTGCAGATCGTGAAGTTCAAGACGCCGCCACGGATGACTCAGCGAAAGCTGGAGAAGCTCGAGCTTGAGAGGAACAGGCGATGGACCACTTCACCCCATCTAAGGAGATGACCACCTACGACCTGGATATGGTTGAGAGCCTGGATTGCATCAACGCTTGTTGAATTCTCTGTGTAGGGCAGTCAAGCGAGCTGTATGATGCCTCCACTAATAGAGGAATTGGATGCCGTCGGTGCCCAACTATCGGCCCTACTGCGCGCTGCGCGACCCGAAGCAGTGGGAGAGCTTGCGCGATCTCGAGGAGCCTCCCTGCGAAAGTCCCAGGAAAGTGAAAGTAGCAGTCAATTCACCCACCAAGCGCAACTAGACCGGCTTTCCGGTCATGCGAAAAGGACGAGGAGAAGTCCGGCTGGGGTGTGGAGAAGAGGAACCAGCTGCAGGGCGCAAGATCTGGGTTGAAAAAAAGAGGGTTTGGGGGGTGTCTTTAGAGTGTTGAGCTTTTGGAAGAGTTTGTGAGCTCCAAGGCTCGAGGAGCTCAACTTG